ACACAACATACATAAGGAGCAGTTGCATGTCATCAGGATGACATTTTCTCATAAAATTAAGTAATAAACTGCTGACATCACCCTGCAGCCAGCCTTTTGACTGGGCAGAGAAGGTGTACTATTGTATTTGCATGAAGCACAGCTGATTGGCATCCAGCGCTGATCCTCCTTCTGCCAAAATAAGTGGTGCTGTGCATGAGAGTGCAACATGCTGCAACTACCATTTTCAGAAGGATAGGATAACAAATGGTAGCTCCCTAATATAAACTAAACTCCCTAGACCCTGACCCTACTATTAAGCACATCTAACTCTTAAACTAATACTTAACACTAAGCTAACTTTACAGCTGCATATTTACTTTATAGTGCACTGGCAGCTTCCAAGCTCAGTGGACCCAGTTATTCTTTTACCGGAATGTAAAGGAATAACTGACAAGCTCGGCAGTTTTTCATATGCTTAGGAAGCCCTTTGGACCAATGATTGATGCAAGGCACTCCTAGGGATAATCCTGTGTGGGAATAAATTTGAGCTTGTAAACTGTATTACGTTGGCTGTGTTTCCTTTATATAAGGTAGAAATTCAGCACCTGGAACAAAAACAGTCAAGATGTGGTGCCCTGGATTTCATGCAAAGGTTCTCCCAAGTGGGATAGTATTATGTAGTGATTTATATCAGACTGGGCTGTCAATGCAATACATACGTAAAGTTCCTATTGTCTGGTACATGCTCAGTTTGAAAAGATTTCAAGTTTCATAAGTTCAGTCTAATTTACAGTATTCAGTGCATTACTACATCTACATCTGATTCTTCTGATTTTCATTCACGCTTATTCATGTCACATTGTTTGACGCCAGCTCAATCCTCTCTACAGTAAACACGAACAGTATGGTAGTAACAACTAACACCTTCAATGATGCAGCAGGGGATATTTGTATTTAGTCTTAAACTTCATCCCCTTGCCCCCTTTTAAAGTTGCACTTTAACTGCTTTGTATGTGCTCACTATAGATTTAATTATGTAATAGTATATTATGCAATTATAATAAAAAATAAACGTGGGCATGGTATTCAGTAAAACATCGTAGCAAACAAAAGTATAGGAAGGTAATAGGAGGAAGTGCAGTTAGGACTCGGTGGAGTACTAGTTCCCCTACTCTGCCTGCCCAGTCCTTGTTTGTTTTTCTTTCATTTCTTTCTGAGATCTGATGTGCATTGGTTGGTTATTATTTTAAACTATGCCTCGTTACATCAAGGTGGCTGGCATCCAACTATGCTTAGTTTAGGTTCTTTACTATAAGGTTTAATCTGATCGGTAAGGTTCTTTTAGGCATATGATCATTTGGTCGAAAACGTTCTACATTTGCTGTAAAAGGAAGCTAATCACAGTACTATTAATTCAAGCTGTTTTATCTTTGTATTTATATTATTGAAATAACCTCTTTATTATACAAAGAAACTTATAATAAAATCATTTAACATGTCCTGATGTAAAGCTAAGAGTTATATTTTGCAGATTCCGTAAGAATGTCAAAATTGACATTTGTTAACACATAAAAGTGTGTTCACTTATAAAACAAGTACACTGATATAAGCATTTGCTGTCTGCCTGTCTGTCTAAAACTCTCATCTTGCAACCTGCTATAATTCTGGTACACTGTTTTTACCTGCAACAGTTAAACTTATTTTCATATTATCTAGATAAATTTACCTTCCTTGTTTAATCAGAGAACTGGTGTTATCTTTATGACACTGGCCTGTATCAGTGGCCTGTGTAAGTGTGAAAGTTTGCTCTTTCATCCATTTGTCTCTTATCAGTTCTTAATTGATTAACTGGCAAACACCCATAGTCCTATAAATTAAGATCAAATTATGGGGAAGAAGGCGCTATGCCAGTATTAGACTTTTAGGTCTTTAAGGATTGCCTTGATTTATCACTCTTCATAAACCAATGTCATGCTTCCTTGATGACTTCTCTGCCTGGCTACCTTACTTTCTCCAGATCAAAAACATAATATAAAAAAATCTGGGCTTTTCAGATATCAGCGATGAAAAACACAACTTTATGTTTTTCATCCCTGATTTCGACACCTTAAAAGCACCAGATTTTTTATATTGTGTTGTTGAATTTGTATATTATTGGTGTGGTGTCTTGCCCTTTGGGGGCTCAATAATATTTTCTACTTTCTCCAGAAAACTCTACTTCCTTGGCCTTCAAAACTCTGCTGTTTTTTGGCGCTCCTCCTACCACTTGTTTAGTGTCACCTACAATCTCAACCTACAATCTCCTCTTCCTTGGCCTTCAAGACTCTGCTGTTTTTTGGCGCTCCTCCTACCACTTGTTTAGTGTCACCTACAATCTCAACCTACTATCTCCTCTTCTTCTCTTCTTCTTTTTGCAAGGGCTCCACAAGGCTCTGTCCTTGGACCCCTTCTACGCTATAGCTACACCACCTCTCTTGGTCAGATGATAACTTTCTATGGCTACATTATGTGAACACTCACTCACCATGTCTATATTAAATGAATCTTTGCTCACGTAATCTGATTAGCACAGGAGTACAGTTTGCTCTGTAACAGCAAAGCTTCTGTAAAGGAATTTGTGCAAGAACCGGACTAACTCCCAAAAATAAGTGGTCTTATAAGTGCTTTTTAATGAACACCATGTAACACTCTATATGCTTTAATATCTGTTATCCCAAATAGAGTTAAGGCTGAACTCCACCCTTATCTTTAGTGTTGCATAGTTGTACAGATTACTTTCCCATACTGAAATTGCTTACTCTGCTTTCAGTGCACACTATAAACTTATCACAGTGTACATTAGAAGCTGCAGCCAGTTAGATAGAGCTTGCCTAATTTCATAGATGAGGATATCAACATTATCTAGCTCTTTCCTCCCCAACCTTACTGCCTCTGACCTGCCCCCTTTCAGGATTTCAGTTCTTTCAGTCATGGAGGCTCTGCATTTTATGTGGGTGTTACCTAGGAAGTTATGCAAATATAGTCTGCCTTGGAGCACCCACTTTTCCAGACTGATATCCAACCATCAAGGCATTTTGATACTTGTATAACACCTCCCAAGAGCCAGCCAACTGCTTGCATCAGGGCTGAGGGTTCCTGAGAGGTGTACTGCATGGAGTGTGCATGTTCTTCCTGTGTGTGTGGTTTTTCTTGAGGTATTCTGGTTGCCTCCCACACTCCAAAGTCATGCTGGTAGGTTAAATGGCTCCTGTCTAAATTGTGTTTGCATTGGCTCCTGTCTAAATCATGTATCCTATGGTTAATTGGCTCCGGTCTTAATTGTGTCTGCATGCAAGCTAGGGACCTTAGATTGTAATTTTGTTGAGGGCAGGTAGTGATGGGAATGTATAATGTAAAGCTCTGCATAAGTTGTTGACATTATATAAATACCTGCAATAATTAAATAAAAATATTCGCCTCTGACTTTCCCCATTCCCTTTTCATGCTGTACACGTTGCTGTCATTAATTCCACCTGCCTTTAGTTTTCTTCAAGGATCATATATAATTTATTGCTAACGTCATTTGCTCAATAGGGAATCATGAGAACCTTTAACACAACAAATACAGTGTAATTACTAGAGCATGTCCTGCGTGCTTTTATAATGTTATCTGCTTCTACCTATGTATATTTTATAGAGATCTTTTTAACTATTTTCTGAGAAATACATGGTTGGCCTAGCTATAATAAGACAAACAATTATTTGACCAAAATTTTTTTTTTTAAAAGAAGAAAAATACAGGCGGTGCAGTAGTCAGAAGGAGGCTTCTGTCACATCTCTTAGTACATAGATAAAGAAAGACACTGCAAAAATGTACTCGCTTTTCTTTATCAAGTATATGTGAAAGCCTGCTCACATTCTAATTAAAATTAGGGAGATGGATTATTTCATGTCCATGCTTGCTGTTGCACACATAGATCGAGCTCAAAACATTTCTAACATTGTCCCTACCACTTTTAACTAAAGTGAACCTGTACTTTGCCTCTACCAGAGTAATAGGTTTCTGGTATAAGAAGTAAGCAGTTAGAGCTAACCATCTCTTCACCTCTCTATTCTGCAACTAGTCCTCTGGTTACTGTCTAAAAATTAAAACTTGAACAGGATTATATAAACTAAGACTAAAACCACCACCCAACCTCCCCACACCCATGGGACAGCATTCAAGCTCATTGCTCAGATTATTGGCCTCTAAAATATTGGAGGCAGGGGAAAATATAATGAGTGCACCATACCTAGAAGAGTAGACGTACCAGGTTCTCCTCTGGATCTGGCTTTAGAGCAGGGTGAGAGCAGTACAGGGAAGGTAATTTCAAGCTGCTGATGATGCCTCTTATTAAGCAAACATTATGTTTTTCTTTATATGGGCAAATTACAGGTTCTCTTGAGCTCTAGCCCTCAAAATGACTCTACTTAACTCAGCTGTTTGGCTGTGCTTGTGTAGTTATGTGGAAATAATACTGTACTTGCTTATAGCATACTGAGTGAGAAGTGAGAATTATTATTGACAGCAGTAAACACTGGCAATTAGCACTGTACAGTATACCACTGCAATGAATGAGGATGATTGAGATGATGTGATTATGACTTTTTAGCACTGAGACTAAGAATAGCCCACTATGCACACAAACGGCACTGATAAGAAGTTTCCAGCACCAGAGCTCTCTGGAAATGCTGATTGTTGTACCCCACAATACATTACTGTACTGAATATACATCCCTGCTTGACGGCTGTGCAAAAGGCAAGCAGACACAAGGGATTTTGGAAGGGCGTGCAAGGCAGCATGGGAGAGAAAGTGAAAGGTCCCCAGGATGGAAAATGGCACAAACGTTTTGCAGCTATTCACATTTCGGCAAAATGGCACAATCCAGACTGAGTCCTGGTTCATGCCAATAAAGTAGCTCATACCCATCAGTGAGCTCATCAGATTTGATAACATTAGTCAGAACAATCACATCTAAGTAACACAACATGATCTCACCGTTAGGACCTGCTCTAGGTTCTCCAGTTTGGCTTGGAGCTGGTACTTCTCCTTCACAGCCAAATCTCTTTCTTTGGTGACTATAATGAGGGTTTCTCGAAGCTGCTCATAGTCCAACTTCACCTAAAAGAATAGAAAGGAATTTTTTGACTTGATTATGTAATGATTTTCATGGGAAAAACATGTATATATTTACAGAAGGTAGAATAAAGTATACAGGTGGAATAGAGGTTTATAACATGCATATATTGCAAAGTTGTTTTTCCATGATAATAAACGTATTGTCTCACAACAAAAATTATGATTTCCTTTTCATCCTACTGGTAACTGAGTGTGATCAAATGGAATGGATACACATTAGTTGTATAGATATGCAATCATCTCATCTATATGTATTCCCCTTTTAGATATCCTTTTGCCACAGCTGGAATATATTGAGAAGCATTGAAGGAGCCATGGGAGCTGAGCCACCAACTGTAATTTGCACTGAACTCATAAATGAAAAAAAAACATTGTTCACTCAGAATGTTTAGCACATCAATTATTTTTCAAATTTACTCAAAAAAATGATTATAGACAAATATCTTAAGCACTGACACAGTGCTGTTTGTTTCATGCACAGTATCAGATATAATAGCAGATCTGTACACACATGGGGACAGTGTTTTCTGTCAGTTTGCCCAATCTTTCATCACACAGTTCTTAAGACAGACAGATTTCACATTATATCTTATCTTTGCTCTCTGCAAATGCCTTTCAGCTTCAACAGACTCTTAAACCTGTGTTATGATAAATCAGTTGTTACACATGCACATAAACATTTTCAGACAACTCTGTTTGTATTTGGTAAATGAGACAGGCAGTTCATTGCCCGGGACAGACTAAGGCTGCTATGAGGAAGGTTCTTTTGGTTTGTAAAAACAGTGATACAACTAAAGCTTGACTCCAGGCAAGCCACTTATCACACAAATAAAGTTCAATTATAGGAAATGTTATACCTGCCAAAGGATTGGCAATTCATCCTGTCTTGTGATCCAAGCATTTCAGCCACACAGCATAGCCAAATCCCTGAACTGCACTGCAGTAGTAGAGCAACTTGTCAAGAACCCACTCTGCGGATTGGACAATGAAGGAGCAGCAGCACAAGCTGAAGTCATCACTTAGCTCAATCTGTTTCTCCTCCTGTTAGCATGTTCCCTGTCAACATATGCTCTGTGCAGAACACTGTCCCTACCTCTCGAATCCTGAATGGCAACGTGCACAAGATTACAGAAAGTTTGTACAAAAGCTGTATTAAAAACTATAATAAGGACATAACTGCATTAGTTGGGTATTGATATGTTTGAGATCCAGTAATAAAGATTAACCCTTTGTTACTAGATAAATACAGCATAGTTCCAATCCAGGGGAGCCCGTAATGCTAATTCTAATGCTGAACTAATGATGCAGGAGCCAGGCTGTGGAGCCACAGCAAGGAGATGCAAGAATCTGACTGTTTGTTTTTAACTTTTTAATCTAATGACAGTGTCAATCTCCGCCAAAATGAATGAAGATAGCAAAGAACAGGACACATATTCCTCCCTCTAACTAAAAAACATTCTATTATATGGCGGCGGTTTTAAGCCAAATGGTAGAATGGTTTACCAGGGACCACTTGAAACTTTAGGTATCTATTAAGAAAGATCTGCCCCTCTAACGGCCTTGCCATGGACAGTACCACCCTTGAGAGCATCTTCAAATAATTTACCTACCTTAGTGAACATTGTATGACAGGTATGGGATTGGGTGGTGCAAACACAAGGTGTCCTCATATAGAGGCCCAATGACCCCGGTATTCAGTAATGTTGAATTTCCAGCAGGCATGAAGTGTTCCCGATTTCTTTGTTGGAGCGCTGAAGCACTTTGACCAATTTTAAAGGGTCTGCACTCATGTGGGCTTAAACCAGTTATAGAACTGACTATTCAGGAAGAACATGAAATGTTCAGGTGGCTACAGTATCTCCAACTCAAGCATTTGTTTTACAATTATCAAAGGCTGGATCACTGACATGAATGTTGACCCCAATAGAAGATCTATGTTTAAAGGGCAAGGAATGGTCACATATGATTATCTAGATTATATAACTTACTTTTGCTGAGTGTGTATCCAACACATTCTTTTTTGTGAGGGATTGGGAGAGAGAGCTAGGTTACTCAATAGAGGATTCAGAGTGGGATAAGGCTTTCTGTTTAACTTTTAAAGCCAGCGTGGACAGCAGGAGTGTAATTATAAGATCCTGACAAGGTGGTACAGATGCCCAGCTATGGTAGCCAAGTTTTGTTAATTGATATCCAGTAAATGCTGGTGATGTGGTGATGGACAGGGCACGATGCTCCACATTTGGTGGGAGTGTCTCCGGGTGCGCCTTTATTGGCATGCTATTTTTTAGATTTCTGCTGTGGTCCTGGGAAGACAATGTTTAGAAACTCAGGAAGCAGCTTTGCTCTTGCTGATCCCGGGTTTGTTTTTTTTTTTCCAGTGGGGCGGGCCTTTATGCCTAGGCTTTAGAAGATAAATGTGGCTCCTACTATTAAGGATTTGATATCCAAAGTAAATTCGTTAATGCAGATGGAAGAGGTCTTAGCTAGAAGAAAAGAGGTAGATTTTGACTTTTGTAATATATGAAATGCATGGTTAGAATTTTTGGATTCCCTTAATTTGAACAGATACTTATCCTGTTAATTGTTTTGTTTAATAACTTTTTATAGTTTATACAAAATATTCATACATTAAAAAAGTATATAAGAAGGCATCAACATACACATATCTCATTTACATACAAGTTTCACTTCTCATCGTCACCACAACTTACAACGTCCCACATTATATATATAATTCTTACATACATACGTTAATATCACCCCCTGAATTCCCTCACTTTGCCATTTCCATTTGCTTAATTTCCCCTTACTGTCTATTGGAGGGAACCGGAGGCTACAGAATTTTTAATTTCCCATTTACCTTGACTCAGTCATCTCATACCAAAACAAACACTCCCCCCTCCCAACAACAACAAAAAACCAATGTCTGATTGTATAATTTTTCACTTTTTCTTTCCAACATATTTCTACTCCTTTCACCTAATCTCATATGAATTGCTGACGTTACTTCCTCCATCCTCATAATAAAATTAACTTCGCCGACCCACTCTCTAATCTGTGGCAATGCTGAAGATCCAGTGCCGCGGTATCACTGTTCTGGCTGCCACTAAAAGATGTTGCATTAGGCCTCTTTTACCCTTGCGGATATCTCCCGGTATAATTGAGGGCAAAGCTATTTCTGGTGTTTTACTGACCAGTTTATTTCAATAAGCTTCTCACATATAATAACTATGGTTTCCCAATATGGTCTAATCTGTTCACATGACCGCCAAATGTGTAGCATATTTCCCTCTTCGTGGCCTCACCTCCAGCATTGCTTAGATATAACTGGGTATATTCTATGCAGGGTAGTTGGGCACCTGTACCATGTTGGAATTATTTTATAATTTAGTTCTTGAGCTTTACTCAAGATACTAGATCTAAATGTTAAAGCAAAGGATCGATTCCAATCCTCTGTTGAGATCTCATGTCCTAGTTCTCGTTCCCACATTCTAGTATAATATGGACGGTTAGAATTTCAATTGCAAGTATTGCAACCACCGTCCCCTGCTACATCCTCTGTACTTATATCTGATAGAGGCCTCAAGCCATTTTTCATTAATGCTTGAATAATTGGAAATGGTTTCACGTTGGTCCACTTAAGAAACCTTAATAATCTCCTGCCAGGGGAGAAATCTGGATTACCTAAAATAGGTGTAAGGGGGCCCACATAAGATGATACTTTAAAGAACCTAATTGCCTTATCCCAAATTACCAGCAGATCTCTTATTAACAGCAATCTTAACCGGACGTCTCTCTGGGTTCACCCATGGGATCGAAAAATAAAGGTATTGGAGTAGCATCCTGTTCGATTGCTACCCATAATTTGGTATTATTTTGATAAATCCAATCTAACATGCGTCTCAGAACTGCAGCCATATGGTATAGTTCCATGTGTGGGAGCCCCACCCCTCCCTCATGCCTATGCATAACCAAAATGTCATACCGCAGGCAGGGAGAGGATCGTCCCCACACATATTTAACAAAGATAGATCTCAATAATTGAAAAAAAGTCCTTGGCAATTTAATTGGTATGGTTTGAAAAAAACAGTTTCCCCTGTATTAAATGATAAAACATTTATTATTACCCAATTTTTTGGTAAAATATAAAAGACAGGGGTCACGTCGGTTAAAAAGACACCAAACATGTCAAGCCTTAAAATTGCGTGCACGAAACCTCAAAAAACTATAATACCCAAAATTGGCCATAGTCGACGCTTTAAAAGCTTTGACCGCTCATCAGTTTAGTGTTATCAGTGATTGATGGCCCTAAAATGATTGTTCTCACTGCGACGTTCGTGGCAATATGTAACGCAATTGTGGTTTTCGCGCGCTGGTGCACCGGACGCGTACTTACGTTTATATGTGCGTAAACGTGGGGGTGGGAGACTTAAACATTTTGGGTTTTTTTTTAAACTTTTTTTATATGTGACTTTTATTCGTTTTACTTTTTTTTATTTATATATTTATTTTTTACACTTATTGTTATTGCTATCACATAGGGGGATAACAATCCACCTATATAATAGCACAGGTACACTGACAGGTCCTCTTTATGGAGACATTAGGGGTCTCTAGGACCCCTAATGTCACCTGGGGACCTCAAAAGAAGCTGATGAAGCATCTTCTTTTGTTATTGTTATCGCATAGGGGGATAACAAACCACCTATATAATAGCACAGGTACACTGACAGGTCCTCTTTATGGAGACATTAGGGGTCTCTAGGACCCCTAATGTCTCCGTCTGGATACGGCAACCCGCTAAGGCAGCAGTGCCGTCCGTTTTTTTTTTAAGGGGCGGGCGGCAACTGGTTAAAAAAGGTCTGATAAAGTTTACGTGTATATTGCTTTTAAAAAAAATAACCTTTCTAGTTTCTGGTGACCCGATAGTAAAGTATGGGAGTTTTTTATATTTGGTGGTGACTCTTGATGGTTGAGCAAAT